CAAGCCAAGACGCATGGGGGAGCAGGGGCGAAGCAGAGGGAGGAAGAGGCGACTGAGGGCAGGGAGGCAAAGCCGCAGCCCCACACGCCCGCTCGGACTCCCCACGCGCAGCGCTGTGCACGGAGGATGCAGCAATACATTGGCAGCACAGGGCCAGCAGGAGCGTCGACGAAGACTCAGTTCCGCCTGAAACTGACGACGCATGACCTGGCACGCGAAACGAAGAAATAGCGTCAGCAAATAGCTGCTTAAAAGCTGAGCGAAAACAAGCCGTGAATAGCTGAATAGCTGCTGAAATAGCCGTGAAGCAAGGCAAAAACTGAGCCCGCAACGCAAGGCAAAAGCGCTGGCGAACACCACCAGTGAGGGAGCGCCAGTGCAATCCAGAGCCTGGCAAAGATGCCGGCAGGTGGCGATCGCCACAATGGAAAGGGCAACAGCACGTCCGATGGGCGAGGGGTACCCGGGAGCGCGGGAGGCGAACTGGGGCGACCCACCGCACGAGAGCGGGTGAAACTAATACAGCGCTGACCAGACCTACAGGCACCGAGACAGCAGGCATAGTGCGCGAAGGACACGGCACAGAAAAAGAAGCGCCGCGGCGCGCTGGGGTAAGATAGCCCGCCAACAAGCGGCGGGCAAGAGCAGTGCAGGGCAGATACCTAAACAGGCCTAGAGACTGCGAGCAAAGACCTCATAAACTTTGCCGTGAGAACCTGGAGAGGTGTCTGGGTTGGCTGGGTAGGCTCTGCCCAAGAGTCCTGCTCGTCGGGCAACGCGCACTGAATCCAGCACGGCCTGCAGGTGAATCCCTTGCCCGCCTTGCACAGATGCCCCCAGATGCATTGCAACGACCGCCGTCGTGGGAGCGGGAACCACAGTAAGCGCAAGCCGGGCTCTGAGGCGCGCATGCAGCACAGTGAAATCACCCCGTTGTTGGGGCGCACCACTGGCCAGACATGCGTTGCACAAAACCTGCATGACGGTGGGCGGACAGAAGAAAGGTCGTCCTGGCATGCCTGGCTTGTCTGGTGAGGCACAGCCGCCGAGTGCGACCTCGAACGAACGGGCAGAGACGGGCGCCCCTTTGCCGGCAGAGCGCCGTACTGAGCATCCGCCGTGAAGGAGAAGCCCGCCGCACGAGCTGCCAAATAGGCGTTGGTGTCTCCATCACTGGCGAGGGGCGGAGAGCGAGCACACGTTGTCGTAGTGGCCCTACGAAAACGCCCGAATTCCGAGCAGGCTCGGTGGAGAGGCGGGTGGAAGAGAATGAGTGGCCCTCACTCCCACCAGGGCTGCGAGGGGGGCAGACTGACCGTGTCGGCGAGGGCGATCTGGCGAGGTCCTGCTAAGGTTCACATCATCTAAGCTGCGCGGCGACGTCGCCAATTGGTATGCGAGGGGGCCCAGAGCGCAAACGGGGGCGACCCAGGGGGACAGGCGCGGGAGGCAGCATGGACGTGCGAACAAAGGGCAGGATGCACAGAACCGAACAGCTGGCCCAAGTGCAACAGGAGCCAGCCATGCGAGGAATTGCAGACAAGGGGGGTCAACTTCAAAACCACCCCTGTTCCCCACAAAAGGTCGCCCCCAAGAGAGCGTAATTTTTCCGCAAGCTCGCTGGACTGGCAGGCGCGGTAGGGTTCGTACATTTTTCTACATCGACCACGGCAGGCGGTTCCCCGAAATTGCTCGGTTTGCAAGAGGAGGTCCGACGATTGATTCAAGTGGCCGCCGAATTCCCCGGCGATTTCCCCAGTTGTGGGCGGGTGCTATCGAAAACCACTTCAATGTATCTTTCCCCGCGGGGCGCGCCGATCAACCGGGGAGTTTGATAAATTTAAAAAACAGATTTCCTGGGCCCGAGGAATGGCCGAGGGGGGGGGAACGTGTAGCCGGCGCCCCCAACCCTTGTAGGCACAGGAGGGGCCTGCAAAGCACCATGAAGACCCTCAGCCCGAACGTTTGATTACGAGGCGCTAAGCCTCGCCGAACGATTGAGGCCACGAGGACCCACTTGGCGCTCTTCGAGGAGCGGAGGAGGACCGGGCAAGCTCGTCGCCTTGACCGTGCAACCCACAGCGGAAACCGAAACGAACTGTCCAGGAGGAGGTTCGACAGGCCGCGGAACACTCTGTGCGGTGTACGGGGGCGTCGGAAAGAGTAGACGAACCAGAGCGCGGCAGAGCGTGATGTAGGCGAGAGCTGGGGCCAGCGGCAGCGACGGAAGGACCAGCACAGCGAGGACCACCAGGCACAGCGAGGACCACCAGGCACAGCGCCAGAAAGAGGAGGAGGAGGCGGCGGGGGAGGCGGCCTCGGAGGTGGCGGCGGCTGGGGGGCGGCCACCCGCCTTCGGAGGGCGACGCGCTGGGCCCAAGACGGAATGCGCGTGTGCTGAAGGGGTAACACGGCTGCGGCTACGGCTCGGGTTTGAAGAGCAGGGGAGGGAGGAGGGAGGAGGGAGGAGGGAGGAGGCGGAAGAGGAGGACGACGACGAGGAAGCAGATCTGATATCCTACCCCTCCCACCCATCCCTCCTCATTGTGCTGATGTGTTCTCTATCCGCGGACACGTGTCATAGCGGACCTGAAGTTCCAAACAAATACATAGCGCTATGCGCAATCGGAGGAAAGGGGCTCCGAGAATAGGAGGAGGTGGAGGATGAGAGGGAGGGAGAGGAGGAAGATAAGGAAGGAGGAGGAGGAGAAGACGGAGGACGAACAGCAGCAGCGAGATCTGAGTGGAAGGGGCGGGAGGAGCAGGAGGACCAGGTGAAGGCGGAGGAGGAAAAAGGAGGGGGCGGCAACGATGAGGACGGGCCAAAAGCAACCCGCTGGGGCAAGAGCGTCGTTCTGAACGACTGGAGCAGCGCGCCGATCCTAAACTGAGGCCAACGCTACAGCGGAGCACCATTTGAAAGGACAGACGACAATCGGATGGTTCAAGCACAGAAGAAAAATCGATGTGTGAAATCCTATGAAACGCGGAGATGGACGAATATCCTCTGGACAGAGTCAGCGGGGAGAGGAGAGTACCGGTAAAGGGCCACAGGGAGGAGGAGGGAGGGGAGGGGGAAGGAGGAAGGAAGAGGAGGAGGAGAGGAGGAGGAGGAATCCGCGGAGGAGGAGGAGGAGAAAGAGGAGGAGGAGGAGCCATTTGCCCCATTTGGGTGGCCTCCGTACTCAAATCGGCGGCCCCATCTGAGGCGGAAGCTCAAGACTCAAGATGTGGCGAGGCCCACATGTGGGGCCAGGTTCCAAGAGGAGACGGACAACGAGCAAGCAGGATGCAGGAAGCAAGAGGCACGAAGAGGAGACGGAGGATCATCCGGAAGCCTGCCCTGGTCTGCACTCCGGGCCGAGCGTTCTCGGGGCCTCCGCGGATGATCTGCACCACGCAAGTCCACAAGAGCACGATGCACTGCGGAGTTGGCACCAACGTACACAATGAGTGCCCGTCGGTGTCAGTCAGTCACGCCTGGCGCCTATACGGCGCAGTGGCAGATGCACGTCGGTGGATGAACACAATTCCGCGGCGAGTGCGGGGGGAAATGAGAAGGGGCGGGCCTGCTCGGACAGCCTTCTAAGAAAGTTTCTCTAAGCCTTCCCCGAAGACACAGAAGACCTCTCAGAAGGCCGGAGGCCTTCTGAGAAGCCCCGCCGACTTCTGAGAAGGCCTTCTCCTTCTCAGTTCCTCCCCTCGCTCGCCGCCGAAAAAATTGCGCCCAGACCAGCTCTGCGATGGAGGCAGGAGGCTGGAGCAGGCAGGAGGCGGGAGCACGCAGGAGGCAGGAGGCAGGAGACGCGAAGAGGAGGGGGAACGGAGGACGGCATCGCGGAGAGTATGGCGACCCCGACCCACAAGGGCGCCTCACTTCGCGCTTCGCGCTGCGCGAAGCGTGAGTGACTTCGCACTCTCGCGCTGCCCCCCACGGGGAGAAGAGGAGGATGAGGATGAATCGGAGCCGAAGCGCGAAGCGCGAAGCGCGAATCACTTCGCGCCCTCGAGGGCGCCCTTGGGAAGCGGAGGACGGCATCGCGGGAAGTGTGGCGCCCCCAGTCCCATCTTTGGGGGGGGTCTCGACTGGACCCAAAAAGATTGGGGCCCAACTCGGAGATGTACGATGGGGGGCGCCCATGCTCGACGAGGGTGCGTCCGAATAGATCCCTGGGGGCATATCCCCGAGTCTCTCCCTTTCCTTAAAGCAAAAAGATAAGAAGAACTAGAAGAGGGGGGACACATCGACCTGGACTTGGCGATACATCGCCGATAGATAGGCGATAGGCCCCCGATCGTGAATCCGCACGTTCCTGGGCAGATTGGGGCTATCAGGCCCCTGATCGGGGATCCGTGGGCGATTGGGGGTGGATGCGTCCCCCCTTTATGCCTAACCCCCCTATCGTTGTCCCTGACTTGTTCTCCTCGCGGCCAGTGATTTTGGAGGGGAACTCGGGGGAAGGAAACTCGCCTGCGAGGGCAGGAGGCAGGAGGCGCAGAGCGGCCTTCCGCCAACCAACCCAGACATCCTCCGTCGTGGCTCTTTCCCAGCGAAGTCCCCCAAAGGTCTGGACCACTTTCACGGGACCGCCTTTCCATCCTGAGTCGTTCTGTTCACGGTCCTGGGAGACCGGCGTGGGCCCCCAGAGGCCGAAAATGGGAAAGGAAGAAAAACACGTCGTGATGAGTTCACAACGAGAGAACGTCGGGGGAGGAGGCAGGTGGAAACATCCGAACCCTACCCCCACCAATCATCGACTCTCCTGAGTCGATGGGAGGCTAGGGTAGGCTTCGGATTCCACCACGCGTTCGATGAATTTCGAACCCTACCCCCGCCGCCCATCGAGTTGCCAATCGTTGATCGGCGAGGGCAGGGTTCGGATTTCGCCCCCGAGGAGGGAGGACAGGTGGCAGCAGGCACGAACAGGCCTCTGCCAGGCCACGGCCCCCTCCGCGGCCGCTCCTCGCTCACCCCCGTACAAAATGGCCCCCGCCCTCGC